GAAAAAGTGGTCTATCCTTGAAAATGAATCATGTGGATGGGAAAAGAAGGTGTAGTCTCTGGATGTCGGGTTGATTTCACGCCAACAGTCTACTAGGGCATGTTGGGATAGTAACAGGCGGAAGGCTCTAGATGTATCCACTGGTGGGGTTACCGTAGTGGAGCGGTCAACACTTGGATAAATTGTTAGGTTTGAGTCACCACACAGGAGGAGGGTGCCCTGTTGGTGTGTGGCTATAACAGCGAGCAAGTGTCTAAAGAAGGGGACCTGATTGGAGTTAGGCGCGTAGTAGGTGACGATGGTTGCCTCCGCATCACGAACAGTTCCTGTCAAAATTAAATATCTTCCTGAAGGGTCAGGGATCTCTTTGTGGCAAATGAATTGAGCAGAGCGCCCAAAACCTATCAGGACCCCTCCTATGCTTAGTATCTGCATTGGCCATATATACTTGCGGATATTGATGATGAAAGTAGTTAGGGTGGGATGAGTGGGAGAAGTGGGTCTCCTGAAGACAGATAATGTCTATATGTCTGGAGTGGAACTGACGAAACGCCTGATTACACTTATTGGGCGAATTAAACCCTTTGACATTTAGGGTTAAGCACTGTAGGGCTGTCATAGTTGTTGTGTAAGTGAGTGGTTTAGGTCATGGGACGTCTGAAGGGAACAAAGTGGCCTCACTCATTGGGAGGGGTGGGAGGGGGAAGGATAAAGGAAAAGGCAGAAAATAGAAAAAGTGAGTACAAAGCAGTGTGTGCTGCAAGTTCTGACTCGGGGTCAGCCGTCCGCCACGTGCCACGTGACAAACTGCTCCCCCGGGCAGAAAGATCATCTCCGTTCCGAACCTGTAGGTTGGGAGGAGGAAGAGGAATGGGTGGCAGATGGGCAGTTCCCCTCCGACACCGCAGGGGGAACCCGCTGTAAAATGTAAATAAACAACAATCCAATGGATAACAGTAATAACCACAAAAACATTAACATTTCTGACTTATGTCAGTGCACTGGTAGGTCCGTATGATAACATGTGAACTCAGTGAGCAATAGCTCCCGGTTCTCTAGATAGATGGGCAGGCACCATCTAAATCTCAACGATGCATGCCCATCTAAAACCAGTAGAGGTTAAGGCACCACACAAATATTGGCTTAGGAATGTATAATAAAAGCAACAGTATTCTTACTTAAAAGTATGGATTAGCTTCAGGTAGCATGTCTAACTACTAAAATATTCAAAATCAACTTTACAGCAAATACGCATAATATTTGCTATGGTAGAGTGGATCAAACGTATCAGTCAATAGCTACCCTCAGCCAACCGATTCCGAGTCAGAATGGCGTGTGGTGGATCTCGTGGCTGGACGTGGCGGCGACGACATCAGGGGTGGTCTCCAAGGGGAAAAGGTGGATTTTTGTCATCTGACCGATTACTTCCAAAGTAGAGGGAGCCTGTTGGCAATCTGACGGCTCAGGGGACAGGTGAAGTTCCTCAAGGATGGTGTTAAGTTCCTGGAGTGAAGAAGCGTGATGTTGATGACCTTGATGGGAAAAGGTCAATTTAAAGGGGAACCCCCACCTGTATTGGATTTTATGTTGTTGTAGGATCCGCAATGCCGGTTTCAGCTCTCGTCTCTTTGCTATGGTGGACGGGGCGAGGTCAGCAAATATTTGGTATTCATGGCCTTGAAAAGTGAGGGGTTGTTTGGTGCGGGCTTCATGTAGTATGGTTTCTTTGGAACAAAAGTATAAGAATTTTGCAATAATGTCACGTGGTGGCCCGTTTGGCTGGCGGCGTGTTAAAGCTCGGTGAATACGCTGGAATTCCAATCTTTCATATTGTATGGATGGAGCCAGTTCCTGTAGCAATGCGGTTACAAATGCTGGGAGGTCTAGAACAGATTCAGGTATGCCTCTTATTCTGAGATTTGAGCGGCGTGATCTATTCTCTAAATCCTCCAGTTTAGAAAGAAGAAGGGCATTTTCATCTTTCATGGCGTCCAGCTCTCTATCATGGGCTTCCAGAGTCACAACCGTGACATCCATCCTGGATTCTAGATCAGTCGTTCTGTGCCCGAGGTCGCGGATTTCTTTTGTTAATTTGTCAGTAATCTGCTTTGATGTGTGTTGAAGTGCTTTTTGCAGCATACGGTCTATTCTTTTTAGTAGGTCTCTTTGTGAGGATTCTGACCGGGGGGGAGAGGGAGAGCTGGCTCTGCTGTCTGTGTCTTCCCTGTTAGTATGGAACAGTGAGGCCTCGTGTGGCTGCTGCAGTGCAGTGTGCTGCGGCGCCATTTTGGCTGGAGGGTGAGTCTGCCTCTCACCTGTGTATCTCCCCCGCTGCTGCGTTCTGGGACCCGTGGATGACATGTCCGGGATGTCTGTCGCCACCTCCGTCTAGCAGTACGGTAGGTGGATTGATGAGATCAGGGTGAGCGGCGCGGGTTCCCCTTCTATGCCGGAGGAGGATGGAGCGGGTCTAAAGCATGACCTCTCCGGTTCACCGTGCGCATGCGCCCCTATACTCAAATTGTTACTGCTAACAACTCTTGATCTCATCCTTCCAGACATACATTTGTCCAATTGGACAAGTTTGGGGGTCTCCTATATAGCCAGTCTGTATGGAAAATGACCGCCTGCTGCCATTTGAGGCTCTATGTCAGCGATACTCTCTACCGGCTCGCGACTTCTATAAATACCTCAGAATAAGACACTATCTGGCCTCTATATGTGTGCGCGATGGAACGCTTCTTAGGAGATGCATACACTACTATGGTACTAATTCCCCATCCAAGAAAGTTATTTCTTTTTTTATAATCTACTTAGCGAACCAAAAACTACTGATAAATTGCCATCCATGAGGTGGTGGGAAACGGAACTAAACTTTTCTCTCTCTCCAGAACAATGGTACAAAGCAGTCACTTGGCCTCTGAAAACTTTGCAATGTCTAAGCCACTGGGAATCCCAACAGAAACTATTGCATAAATGGTACTACACGCCACAGAAACTGGCAAAAATCTACCCCTCCTCCTCACCACTCTGCTGGCGGAGCTGTGGAATTGTGGGGTCATTGACACACATCTGGTGGTATTGCCCATCCCTTGGCCCCTTTTGGCCTGAGGTGTTTCAGCTTATCTCCACAATTACTCAGCTCCCCTGTGGCGTTTCCCCACAACTTGCCTTGTTAGGGGTAGGGTTGGAAGAGTGGTCACCAGCTTCCAGGACTGTTGTGTCTCATGTCCTCATAGCGGCCCGTCTTGCACTAGCGAGAGCATGGAAACAATCAGAACCCCCCTCTTTAAACACAGGCATACAGATTCTAAACACGCATGCACATTTTGAATTTCTGTCCGACAAGGCTAACTGTAGATTTCATACTTTCACCTCGCGTTGGGCCTGCTGGTTGACAGACACCAGATGCTTGACACATATCATATGATGATTACCAGACCCGTATTCCCTCATTAGTAGAGACGCTCTCCACAAGCTCTGATTTTTACTTATTAAATTTTAAAAAAATTAAACACAAAATCAGTGACATTCTTGTGGTTGGATGAACATTCTCATTTAGGAAGTGGGATCTTTCAATTGCATTTTGATAAGTTCTGTTGGTTGTATAAACAAACCACTTCCTCAAAAAAAAAAAAAACCCAAAGTGAATGCATTAGTTATTGATGTCCTTTGCGCAATGAACTGGGGCAAGTATGCAGTGAATATAGTTTCAATTTGATAATTAATTACAAAATGCAATTTTTAAAAATGTTTAACTTTGGTTTTAAAACCGGCAGGATTTGAGGTGAACTTGTGCTTTTGGCAGGACAGGCAACTGGTTTACAGGGCAAAGCAACTGGTTTCTTTAACTGCCATCCTCCTACTCCCTTCAGAGTGAAGAGCACTCTGTTTAGCTGTCAGATTCAAAGAAAAATGCCTCGCATTTTTGATTATGGGGAGCATATGACTCCTGCGTCCTGTGCTGTCAGGGTTTCCTTTCTTCATTTCCAATGGCTGAACGGAGAAATGTGAGGACAAAAGGATTGTGAGTGTGCACGTTACGTGAGCCTGTTGCATTGCTCAACATTTCTGATAAGTATCGAAACCATGGGTTTAAAGACATGCCAGTATGTAGCCTTTCATAAACTGGAGGTAGATTATTTATATGAAAACCCCCAGGATAAACTTCAAAAATTAGCTTGGAAAACATTACATAAGCAATGCAGGGACACAAAATCTGGCAGAATGCCAGCACAGGGAGGAAATACTTTGGGTTTTAGAAGGGACTCGATTTTTTTGTTTATTCTGCAGGCTAGTAACAAGTGTCTCCACATCAGAGAACTCAAATTACAATGTACTATTGATTCATCTAATGATATGACGTTAAAAGTCAGCTCATCCCAGAAACTTGCTGTCACTATTTTGCGTGGGTGCCAGTGGATTAAATTTGCTAGTGGCTTTTTTATAGTTCTTTGGAGACCCCAAAATTTAAAAAATATGAAATAAGGAAAAAGCAAATGGCAAATTCATTAGTATTAACTTTTTCCCTTCACTTTTCGCCCGGGCCCCGCGCCCCTGCTGCCCCCCGGTTGTTACGCCACTGTAGTATATAACATGTTTTTCTTTGTAATAATTGTCTTTTAGCAGTATATTACATTAAGCGGCTGATTTATAAATCCTCTGCCCAGCCATATGCTGGGCGAATGCCGTTAACACAACATTCATGCCACTAGCGGCAGGAATCCTGTGTGAACAGCTTTTTCTCTGTTATAATTCAGCCCCTAAGTGTGAATTGTGATACCCATAAATATTTTGCCAGGATAAGTCCATATTTGCTAAACATGATTAGTATTTCTCCATATAAACTTATCTGAGTCTTTTGTGTGCAGGACAGAGTAAATATGTTATGATGGCTTTAGTTTGCAGTCATAGCAATGATAAATGTGCAATTTTGTTTTATTTCTTAGTAGGGTTGTTTGTTAACACTTAGATTTGTTGTTTTTATGCTTATGTTTCAGGATCAGGTAGCGAAAGATAAAGCTCTACAGAGTATGGCAGCAATGTCTTCAGCACAATTAATCTCTGCAACAGCCATTCAGAATAAGCTGGGAGTACCGAGTATATCACATACCCCATTCCCTCCCACTGCTGGGGTAAGTGATTTTTATTTTTTTACATGAGGTTATACATGAGATTTCCCAGGAATGCACTGTGATGTAATCTTCCCAGGATGCAATGCTTGAGCACGATTACATAATTTGTGCCAAAGTTGGCCAGGTAGTAGAAAAAAAAGAAATTGTAAATAAAATAAAAATATGTTTGCTTAGCTAATGAATGTAAGATGATTTCATATCCGCATGCAGAGCTGTATGCTGATGTGTTTTTTAGTCAAAGGTGGTAAAGGTCTACTTTAACAAACATGTAGCTTATTTGTGTATCCCTCAGTTGCAGATCCACAAATCATCTCTGAATTGCTGCTGACATTGTCCTTCCTTCTGGAGGGTGGCTCCAAGCTCACTCCCATGATGGACCACAAACTCAAAACAAATTAGTAAACTAAACGTAAGATTGTAGTCCATCACCGACGTGAGCTTGGAGCGGTGGCTTTTTTACAATACACACAGGGACCGTGGGGAACAAAATTAGCCACCCTTTCAGAGGGAAGCACAGTGTGAGCACAAATTCAGAGGTGATTTGAGGATCTACAGCCTAGTGATGCACAAATAAGTTACATTTATGTTAATAGCTAGGGTACTGCATTTTTAAGATAAAAAAAAGAACAATAGGGTAACCTCCTCCCCCATAGTTCTGTTTAGGGTCACGGAAGAGCATATACTAATGTTCTCCCATGACCCAAGACTCGGTATATAGCCTGCTATACGCTGAGAATGCCACAGCTGGGACGGATCCTGACAATACCGTCGAGATCCACCCGCTAGCTCATGACAGCAAGCTCTGCCTATCTAGAGGCAGAGCCAGCTAGGCCTGCCCCCTCCCCTGTCCGTTCCTCCAGTAAGCCCTGGAGGATCAGAGAGGGAAGGGCGGGAATCCCTGTGGGGAGAGGTGACTGACGGTCATCACTCTCTGCAGGGAGATAATCGAGCAGTGAGTGAACAGCGGTATGTTTTTGCTCACTTCCCGATCAATAGAGCCGACGTGTGACCGTTTCAGTGTCACATGCCGGCTCTAACTATTGGGATGAGCGTAATTTACTCACCCCATAGTTCTCCTTTAACTCCCGAGTTTAGTATCACTTTAAGCTTTGTAAATTTATATTTTCATTGAAATTATTTTTTTTATTTTAAACACAGATGTTTGATGTGTTCGCAAACATAGTGTAGATATGATAATCCCTCCGTTTTTTGTTTTTTTTTGTCTAGTCTCCAGAATTTTTCCAGTTCTGGCCTGGAGGAGCTGGCCAGCCCCGGCCGACACAGGAGTAAGTACTGCCCAACAATGCATTGTGTTGTTAGTCTCTCTGAATGTAACATCACATTCTGTACAGAACATATTTTCTTGCTGGCAATGCATTTTTTAAAAACGCATTTGCACCAACTAGGATTTTTTTTACAACACACAAAATAATTCAAAACATAGTCACAAATTGAATCACTGTTACTGCAGTTTTGAAACTATAGCTTACTATAGCAGATTTCTGTGACTCAAAAACCTATCTACCTTTATTTTTTAATTATCCTGTTGAATAGTAACCATTGTATAATCAGCCTGTCAATAATCTCTTACTGTATATACTCGAGTATAAGCCGTCCCGAATATAAGCCGAGGTACCTAATTTTACCAAAAAAAACTGGGAAAAAGTATTGACCCGAATATAAGCCGAGGTACCTAATTTTACCAAAAAAAACTGGGAAAAAGTATTGACCCGAATATAAGCCGAGGTACCTAATTTTACCAAAAAAAACTGGGAAAAAGTATTGACCCGAATATAAGCCGAGGTACCTAATTTTACCAAAAAAAACTGGGAAAAAGTATTGACCCGAATATAAGCCGAGGTACCTAATTTTACCAAAAAAAACTGGGAAAAAGTATTGACCCGAATATAAGCCGAGGTACCTAATTTTACCAAAAAAAACTGGGAAAAAGTATTGACCCGAATATAAGCCGAGGTACCTAATTTTACCAAAAAAAACTGGGAAAAAGTATTGACCCGAATATAAGCCGAGGTACCTAATTTTACCAAAAAAAACTGGGAAAAAGTATTGACCCGAATATAAGCCGAGGGTGGGAAATGAGGCAGCTAATGGTAGATAGATACCAATAAAATTACATTAATATTTATTTAAAAGAAAAATAACCTAGCTCTGTAAGTGGAAAAGGGGGTACAGGGCTACATATCATGTACTACGGATCATTTAACCCATTCATGTTAGCAGAGGATCATTGTAAATGTATTGTCTGCACTGTATTAGCAGTATATACTCCATATAGAGTATATACTGCTAATACAGTGCAGACAATACATTTACAATGATCCTCTGCTAACATGAATGGGTTAAATGATCCGTAGTACATGATATGTAGCCCTGTACCCCCTTTTCCACTTACAGAGCTAGGTTATTTTTCTTTTAAATAAATATTAATGTAATTTTATTGGTATCTATCTACCATTAGCTGCCTCATTTCCCACCCTCGGCTTATATTCGGGACGGCTTATACTCGAGTATATACGGTAATTGAAAAATCATTGTGCATATCTCCTACCAGTTCTGATTTTTAGAAGGTTTGTCAATATTTCGGGTTCCCAAAGCTGTCAGACTTTTTAGAAATAGATGTCGGCTGCTCACGTCAGTTTGTGGGTTGGTTGATCTATTTTTGATAGAGTGAAAGGTATGATTGTAGTGCACTAGCCTCCTGCTATGATGGTATCAGTAGTACCTAATGAATTAGCAGGCTATAGGTTTTTGAAAATGTGGGCAAAAAAGTGATCTAGATAACAACAGTATTATTCATCAGTCTTTTGACTACACTTGGGGGTATATTTATAAAGCAGTGACTGTGATTTTCACCAAACATTCACTGGTGTTAAATCCATCACTGTCATTTAAAACATGTACCTGGAAGATTCCCCTGCAGTGAATATTTGGTAAACATCAAGCTCACTGCTTTATAAATATACCCCTTAGTTTTATTTATGATACTTTTTGTCAATCTCTCTTTCTATGTGTGCGTTTTGTTTTTTTAATTACACTGCTTCATGGGACAGAAAAAGACTTCAAAGGTAAATTTGTTTTAATTGTATTTATTCACTTATTTGTTGTATCATTTTTATTATTTTCTTTAGTGTTAAGCCGTTTTCCCAGCCTCCATACCCCCTGCAGCCTGCTGCCCCCCCTCCTGCTGTACCAGGTACAGATTTTTTATTTTTTTATGCCTTTGATTTGTGACAAATTTACATTTTCCCCCAACATCTTTTCTTTCTGTTTTCTGTCCTCCTTTTTGAGCCTTGCTTACTTTGTTTCCTTCTATTGACTACAAACATAACCATAAAAGAAAACACTTTGTATTATTTTGCTTAGAATAATGGTTTGCATGTGGTAATCATAGAAAGATTGGCTTTAAATAGATTATTATTATTATTATTATTATTATTATACAGGATTTTTTTAATATGCAAACAGCTTGCAGAGCACTTTACAAAATGAAGGGAGACAGTACAATACAAATTCAATACAGGAAGGTTAGGAGGGTCCTGCTCGTGAAAGCTTACAAACCGGTTAGAGCTGACTGCCCCACCAGAGTGTAATACATGTGGAATGTTCATTATCATGCATTAATTCATAACTTTTACAATATTATTTTTTTTATTATTTGCTAAAGGTTTTATTACATAGATCTGCTGAATTTACCACGTGGACCTTAGAATATTTATTTTTTAAGTATTCCACATGTAAAAGTCAGTTCCCATACAGGTTTTTATTTTAGCATATCCATTTTTATTATTATTGTTGCAGATTATGCAGTGATGAAACGTTTTCAAAAAGAATTCCAAATGTTTTCACTACATGTGGTGGGAACATAATATCGAACCATATAACATAGCCACAAGGCTGACATCATGGGGATGACATAGGGAACGTCATCTTATGATATACAGTCCAGACATCTCAATGTGAAACAGGAATATGAAATGTCATCCAACAAGCGAAAGATTAAGAGAGAAACAAAAGAGGGATAAGCATCGACACTGTAATAGACCGTGGATCACACAAAAGAGTGTACTGTTGGAAGGAACCGCTGGATTGGTAGAAGGGGGAGGAGATTGTATAGTCGCCTTGTATTTAGAGGGTATATGGAGTGTCAAAAGGGACTTAAAGACTATCAGAGGACATCTAATGCACCGTGGGATTCGTCAATTTTAACTTTGAGGAACCATGTGGAGTATTGGAAGGTGGACACAATGTCTCGTAACTGGTTTGTAGGAAGTTCAGAGGTCAAGTATCTGGACCAGGTGTCAAAGAATATGCCCGTGCGATGCAGATCAAATTGTGCATCTAGTTTGTCTAGTAGCATAAGCCTGTGAATCGTGGTGGTGAATGTACTGAAGGATGGCGGGGTGGGAGACAGCCAGTTGGTCAAGATGGCTTTCTTCGTACTCAAAATGCATTGGTTTTCCTATCGGGAGAGGGATAGTGGTGTCGCATTTTGAGTCTGGGGAGCAGTGAAATAAACAGATGTCAGGGGAGGGTATTCTCTGTCTATCTGACTTCAGGTTCATGAAGGCAATGATTGCAATCCATAGGGATTGGATAGAGGGACATAGCCATATAAGGTGGGTTAGATCACGTAGCGGTAATTGGCATTTTGGGCAGCGGGTCAGCCAACCTGGAGGGTTGCACGGTGAATTAAAATTGAAACCATAGTATGCTCTGTGGATCAACATGAATTGAACTTCCCTCCACGATTCACTAACTATAGCTTTCCTCAGGTGTCTCCACTCCAACCTGTCAGGATGACAGAATGTGTGGCTTCTGGAGTTAGAAGGAGCAAGTCGGCCCACTTCATTACGTAGGAAGGAAAGGCCGGAGAGATTAGTGGGATGTTGTGAGAGTACATGTGGCGATACAGAAAGGAAAGGGGTAATTTGTGAGTCGGTGAGGAGAGTAGTGCGTGGAAATGGGAGTAACTTTTCCCAATGCAAGTTGGGGGGAGGTTTTTCATCAGGAAATGGTGTATTTGAGCGTGTGGCAAGAAATGGTTAGGGGGTATGCGGTGATCTTTATAAAGGGTTTGAAGAGTCTTGCAGTGTCCCTGAGGTGTCAACGCATCTTGGAGGGTATGGATACCCAGAAGTCCCCAGCTTTTGAAGGCTTTGGATTCCAGCCTGGCTGGGAAGGCCGGGGTGGATGAGATAGGCATCATAGGGGAGGTTACTCCAGGTAGGTGATAAAGTTTCCTGACCTCCCTCCAAGTAATAATCGTGTCTCTTAGTAAGATATTGCGTTTGATGTGGGGAAGGAGGAGGGGAAGTGGGGTGTGTAAAATACCCGGTAATGACCATGGGGTCGCTAGGTGGCCCTCTAGTGTTGTATTAGTGAAGAATGAGGTGTCTGATATCCAGTCTCTAACATGGCGGAAGATACTGGCTAGGTTATATAATCTGATGTAAGGGAGGTTTGCACCAAGATTGGCAGCGGGGCATTGGAGTTTGGGCAGTGCAATTCTGGGTTTTTTCCCTCTCCATATAAACCTGGAGAAGGCCCTGTTCAGGGTTTGAATGTCTCTATGTTTAATGAGCAGCGGGATTGTTTGCATTGGGTATAATAATTGGGCAAAACTAATCATGTGTATCAGGTGGCATCTGCCCAGGGTGGTGAGGGATAGTGTTTGCCAGCCTGGGAGTTCCTTCAGAATTTTTTGTATGAGGGGGTGTATATTTTAGTGTATAGAGTTCTGTGGCCAGGCGTGGAATATGGATGCCCAAATATTTAATTGAGCGATGTCTAATTTGGATCTTGTAGGGGTCAGTCCACGTGGAGCTATCTAAGGTTGAGGTGTGCGATAGGGGTAGTAATTCACTCTTGGTAAAATTGATTTTCAGCCCCGAGAATGTACCATATAGGGTTATGTGCCAGAGCACTTGGGGTATTGGAGTAGTTGGATCAGATAACAACAACACAATATCGTCGGCAAACAGGGCCAACTTGACATCGTGGGGACCTATACAGACTCCCGAATACAAGGGAGAGGAGGCTAGGGAGCGGGAGAGTGGTTTGATAGCCATATTGAAGAGAAGTGGGGACAGAGGGCATCCCTGGTGTGTGCCCTTGTATAAAGGAAAGGATGCTGAGATGGCTGATGAGGTGCAGATACGGGCCTTGGGGGGAAGTGTAAAGGGTGGAGATGTAGTTCAGGAATGTTCCTGAGAAACTCATGCGTGACATGACCTGGTGTAGCCAACCCCAACTGACATTATCAAATGCCTTCTCGGCGTCCGGGGCTAGAAGAGCCTGTGTACGCAGAGAAGAGTCTGACAGTCTCAAATGTTCCAAAGAGGAGATTATTTTGCGTACATTCAGTAGAAATAAGTTTCGGCAGTTTGGCATCTAGTCTATTTGCAAGGATTTTTGAGAGCAGTTTTGCATCCTGATTAAGTAGGGATATTGGGCGGTAGGATGCAGGCAATGTTGGAGCCTTATCTTTTTAGGTATCAGCCTAATATAGGTGTAATTAAATGTGGGTGGGTATTGTCTGTTTTGTAATATGGAGTTGAATAACGTTATAAGGGGGGGATTAACTTCCTCCGTGAGAATTTTATAGAACTCCGTGGTCAAGCCATCTGGGCCTGGTGCTTTGTGGCGTGGGAAGTGGTGAACGACATTGGACAATTCCTCAGGGGTAATATCACCGTTCAAAGACTCCAGATCCTCAGGGGAGAGGGAAGGAAGGGTAACTGAGTCTAGAAATGCCTGTCCAGCGGGAAGGTTGGTTGCGTCCGCAGCATATAGGGAGCGATAAAAAAATCACTGATCACTGAATGTGCAAATAGTGTTTGGATCGGAGTGGACCTTGCCCTGAAGATCTGTCAGTTTCAGAACGTGGGCAGGGGCGGGACGGCCACGTGCAAGATTGGCCAACAATTTCCCTGCTTCATTGCCAAATTTAAAGAGATCGGCATCTTTGTGTGATCTCAACAGGGTGTCATATTGTTGTATCCAGTGATCACAAATTTGTTTGGACTGTATCCACGGGGCTCTTTTCTGAGGGGAAGGGGGCCAATTTGTATTGCAGATAGGACTCCCTAGCCGCCATACATGCTTCCACATATTTTTGTCCAGTGATTTGTTTCCGGGAAGTAACGTAAGCCGGTGGATGTGGTATATCTGGATTTCTCAAAGGCTTTTGATACGGTTTACTATGTAACTATGTAAGCCAAAATGCGTCCTCGGAAGACGGCTTTCGCTGTTTCCCAGAAAAGAGTGTAATCAGTTACATGCGATACGTTATCTGAGGCGTATTCAAACCACCACAATTTAAGCATAGATATAAAATTATCATCCTTATATAAATAAGCAGGAAACCGCCATATGCGAGGGGGAGAGGGGACTCCTAGGCCTTGGAGGGTGACTACCACCGGGGCGTGATCAGAGATCAACATGTCCTCTATGGTGAATGCCTCGATATTTGGTAAGAGGTGCGGTGCTCTACTTTATAGGGCTTTGCAGACCCTAACGCTTGTGGCATGACGGAGGAGCAAAAATGGACGAGGTCGGCTGGCAGGACCGATTCAGGGAGGCCTTTGAGCCGTATGTTATTCCTGCGGGATCGGTTCTCTAGATCATCCACCTTGTCACAGAGATAGTGTACCGTTTTAGACATGTGATCTAGTTTCTGCTGTGTGGAGAACGACAAATCGTCTAGATCAGGGATGGCCAAACTGCGGCCCTCCAGCTGTGGTGGAACTACGAATCCCATGAGGCTTTGCAAAATTCTCACAGCCACAGACATGACTCCCGGAGAGAGATGCTTCATGAGATTTGTAGTTTCACCACAGCTGGAGGGCTGGAGTTTGGCCATCCCTGGTCTAGATCATTCACCTTGGACTCAATTTGTTTGATTTGGTTGCCTTGGGAGGTTAGAGCGGCATTTCATTTCCCTAGATGTTGTTGCAGAGATTCTGCAATAATATTGGCCAGGTCTGGCTTTAAGTGTGAGGCATACAGCAGCAGCCAGGGATTGATAGTCTATGGGCCCCTGCGGGGGAGGGAGCTGAGACTCACCAGAGAGATCCATCGTCTGGTCAGGCTGCTGTGAAGCGTCAGCGGCCATTTTGGATTTGTCCCTGTCGTCTGTGAGGGACTGTTCCAGTGCTCTCCTGGTCGGCTGGGAGCGCGCAATGTAGCAGTCCATGGTCTGTACTGTTCCCCCTGCTATGCGTGTGAGTCAGTGTGACTGTGAAGGCTGGGAACTGCGGTTCTCGAGGGTGTTCGGCGGGACGGAGCTCTGGGAGACATGGCTAGGTCATCTGGCGCCGGAACTGGAAGTCCAGGTTTTTATTTTAAAAATACGAATACCTTCTGACTGGGGTTAACAATGACCTCCTGCTATGAGGTGCGTATTGCAGAAATCAATGTATTTTTGTATTTTGTGAATTAAAAAAATGAATGCGAAACGTTTTAGATATAAAACAAAGAATAGCAGTAAAATATTACATGTGAATTGGTGCTTCAGTGCCAATTAGTTGTTTATAACTGTGTTTTATTACTTCCCATATTCTTCATATGTACGTTCATACATTTCTAAACCTGATAAACATTAGATTGCCTTGGTAAATTAAACCCTGTGTAGGTGTGGCATTACCTTACCTTATACCGACTTTACTTCAATGTATTTAGCATTTCCTTTTAACTCAAGTTTTTTCTTTGCCTTTTTAGGTTATAATGCTAGTCCTCCCAGTATGTCCCCGGTACCTACAGGGCCTGCATGGCAAGGCCGCTCTATTGGCACACCTAAGCTACATTTAGTGGAGTTCATGGCCTTTATGGAACAACAAGGAGAACCTGATTCAGTAAGTGCAATCTATAGTACAGATTGATAGATGTCCCCATAACTAGATCTGTACTTACAATACTAAACTTTATAAACCGCCTTGATCGTTTGTTGTAAATTTCTTTCCACAGTACAACAAGCATCTGTATGTACATATCAGCCAGTCTAATCCCTCCTATAGTGATGCATTACTGGAGTCTGTGGATGTGCGTCAGATTTATGACAAGTTTCCTGAGAAGAAGGGAGGACTTAAAGAACTCTATGAGAAAGGGCCACCAAATGCCTTCTTTTTGGTCAAGTTCTGGGTACGAGATGTCACTGTCATTTTATTGATTAAATAATTGTAGGCTTTGATGTTCTAACAGTTTAAACTGAAAGTCTTTATATTATAGATCTAGATTTATAATGCTCATCTGAGGAAAGAACTGTTAAACACTTTTTGCTTCTCAGCTGAATAGGTTATATAACCCTACTGCAGTTTCAGAAAAGTTAGGTCATGCCTTTTAACAATCATACATATGTGAAAACATCATTTAAAATGGATATGTGTATGGCATTTGGTTAGATATTCATATTGCATATGTATACTTGGTGTAAAAAACACAAACAGGGGGCGCCTTTCCTGGTGCAGACAAATTTATTATCATCATATCATTATCATGCTGAATTTTGTGAGTATGTTTTTTATCTACCTTTGATCCTGATCTTAATAAATTTGTCTGCACCAGGAAAGGCGCCCCCTGTTTGTGTTTTTTTCCCTAGATTTTGCGGTCTCCCTGGCTGGTTTGGGGGCAGCATCCTGCAGACCTTTCTACACACGTGCTTTTCATTATTTATATATTTTTTAACAGACTTGTTTCTGATTACACTTGTGCTTATATTGGTCCATACTGGCGGAGTAGTCCTTTTTGGCGCTTTTCTGTGTTCATATCTGTACTGTATACTTGGTGTTTTCATATTGAACCAGCAGTTCTTATTTCATTTTTTTGTGTTTTCTTGTATCTTCTTAGCTCATTTGTTGTAAAGCCTGATGTTTACAGAAACAGGTTAACAGGTAGTTTTCCATTAGCTTAGTGATTGTTGTGAAAATTCACTTTGCATAGAATGCCCAGTCATGTGCAAGGAAAATAAAATAACAGTATTTTTGCCAGCACATGATTGCATGATGGAAGTCAGCAAAGCTTTACCTTTTTTTCACTAAGCTAAAGGAAACTTTTCCTGCAAAGAGTGTCTGAAGGGAACAACTTTTTTCTATATAAAAAAAACCCACAGAGCACTGCAAGTCAAATGTGCACCCTACTTTGGATGTAAATTTGTAAATGTGCTATCGCACATGTATAGTAGAAATAAATCAGATAGATAGAAATACAGTTGTGTGAAAAAGTGTTGTCCCCCTTCCTGATTTTTCATTGTTTTGCACGTTTGTCACACTTTAATGTTTCAGATCATCAAACAAATTTAAATATTAGTCAAAGATAACACAAGTAAACACAACATGCAGTTTTTAAAGGAAGGTTTTTATTATTAAGGGAAAACAAAATCCAAACCCACATGGCTCTGTGTGAAAAAGTGTTTCCCCCCCTGTTAAAACATAACTTAACTCTGGTTTATCACACCTGAGTTAAATTTCTCTAGCCACACCTGTTCGCAATCAAGAAATCACTTAAATAAGACTAGACAAAGTGAAGTAGACTAAAAGATCCTCAAAAGCTACACATCATGCCGAGATCCAAAGAAATCCAAGAACATAGTTACATAGTTCCATAGTAACTATGTAACTATGTTCCTGGATTTCAAATGAGATGAAAGTAATTGAGATCTATCAGTCTGGAAAAGGTTATAAAGCCATTTCTAAAGCTTTGGGACTCCAGCGAGCCACAGTTAGAGCCATTATCCACAAATGGCGAAAACATGGAACAGTGGTGAGCCTTCCCAGGAGTGGGCGGCCAACCAAAATTACCCCAAGAGCGCAGTGACGACTCATCCAAGAGGTCACAAAAGACCCCACAACAACATCCACAGAACTGCAGGCCTCACTTGCCTCAGTTCAGGTTGGTGTTCATGACTCCACCATAAGAAAGAGACTGGGGAGACTGGGCAAAAATGGCCTGCATGGCAGAGTTCCAAGAGGAAAGCCGCTGCTGAGCAAAAAGAACATAAAAGCTTGTCTCCGTTATGCCTGAAAACATCTTGATGATCCCCAAGACTTTTGGGAAAATACTCTGGACTGACGAGACTAAAGTTGAACTTTTTGGAAGGTGGGTGTCCCATTACATCTGGCGTAAGAGTAACACCGCATTTCAGAAAAAGAACATCATACCAACCGTAAAATATCGTGGTAGTAGTGTGATGGTCTGGGGCTGTTTTGCTGCTTCAGGACCTTTTAAAAAGGCGGTTCATGCTGGAAACCCTTCCAATGTGGCTGAATTACAACAATTCTGCAAAGATGAGTGGACCAAAATTCCTGCACAGCGCTGTAACAGACTCATTGCAAGTTATCGCAAATTCTTGATTGCAGTTCTTGCTGCTAAAGGTGGGCAAACCAGTTATTAGGTTCACACAGGGCCATGTGGGTTTCGATTTTGCTTTCCCTTAATAATAAAACCTTCCTTTAAAAACTGCATGTCGTGTTTACTTGTGTTATCTTTGACTAATATTTAAATTTGTTTGATTATCTGTGAAGTGTGACAAACGTCCAAAACAAGGAAAAATCAGGAAGGGGGCCAACACTATCGCTCGCTCTCTCTCTCTCTCCACTCGCTCGCTCTCGCTCGCTCTCTCTCCTCTCGCTCGCTCTCTCTCGCTCGCTCGCTCTCTCTCCTCTCGCTCGCTCTCTCTCTCCCCTCGCTCGCTCTCTCTCCTCTCGCTCGCTCTCTCTCCGCTCGCTCGCTCGCTCTCCTCTCGCTCGCTCGCTCTCCTCTCGCTCTCTCTCCGCTCGCTCGCTCGCTCTCCTCTCGCTCTCTCTCCTCTCGCTCGCTCTCTCTCCTCTCGCTCGCTCTCTCTCCTCTCGCTCGCTCTCTCTCCTCTCGCTCGCTCTCTCTCCTCTCGCTCGCTCTCTCTCCTCTCGCTCGCTCTCTCTCCTCTCGCTCGCTCTCGCTCGCTCTCGCTTGCTCTCGCTCACTCTCGCTCGCTCTCTCTCTCTCGCTCGCTCTCTCTCGCTCTCTCCTCTCGCTCGCTCTCTCTCTCCTCTCGCTCGCTCTCTCTCTCCTCTCGCTCGCTCTCTCTCGCTCTCTCTCCTCTCGCTCGCTCTCCTCTCGCTCTCTCTCCTCTCGCTCGCTCTCCTCTCGCTCTCTCTCCTCTCGCTCGCTCTCTCTCGCTCTCTCTCCTCTCGCTCGCTCTTCTCTCGCTCTCTCTCCTCTCGCTCTCTCTCCTCTCGCTCTCTCTCGCTCTCTCTCCTCTCGCTCTGTCTCTTCTCGCTCTGTCTCTCTCTCTCCACTCGCTCGCTCTCGCTCGCTCTCTCTGGAGAGAGAGAGAGAGAGAATATTGACAGCAGGCACCTGATTCATCAAAGTTGCAGTTTCTGCAAATAGCATGTTATGAAGCTGTATTGTGTTCTCCATTTATTTTAGCATTATTTTGTTTAAAGGCTGACCTCAATACCAGCATTCAGGATGAGCCAGGTATATTCTATGGTGTGAGCAGCCAGTATGAGAGCCCTGAGAATATGACCATCACCTGTTCCTCCAAAGTCTGCTCCTTTGGAAAGCAAGTAGTGGAGAAAGTAGAGGTAAGGACCCATTGTCTCCTGTATATTTAGTGACCTGAACTTCAAACAAAAAATTACATTTTTGACATGGGTGGACTGACAACATATGGGGCCCCTGGGGGCTTCGCTCATATAAAATTCACCCAATGCATTATTACAAGGGGTGGGCAAATGTAATTACTCTAGCTTTGGTAAAACTACAAATCCAATCATGCATCTGACTGTGGGAGTCATGCATATGCAAAAGTCTTGCAATGCATCATGAGTCTTGGAGCTCCACCACAGTTACGGAGCCAGAGTTTCCCCTCCCCTGAAGATCCTCTACAGTTTAGGAATGATCGCTGTACAAATCAACGCACGGCAGACCAGAACCAACGTACAGCAGACCTCAGACCAATATCAACGCACGGCAGACCTCAGACCAATAACGCATGGCAGACATCAGACCAATATCAACGCAGGCAGACCTCAGACCAATATCAACACACGGCAGACCTCAGACGAGAACCAACGCACGGCAGACCTCAGACGAGAACCAACGCACGGCAGATCTCAGACCAATACCAATGCACGGCAGACGTCAGACCAGAACCAACGTGCGGCAGAGCACACACACAATGTACACACAACACATGAGGCCTCACTCAAACTGGGCGTACATGTCCATGCGGCATGCACGCCTGTAAACAGCCGATCCCGGGAGGGACAGGTGCTGCGTGTAGTTGCGCACAGCAGCCGTTTCTTCCATATGGGAGGATGCAGCTGTACGGTGTCATATGGACACCCGGACTTCACATCTATGCGGGTACGGGGGTGCATGGAAGTGTGCGCTCAGTGTGAATGAGGCCTAATACACACACACACAACACATAATACGCATACACACACACACACACGTACAATACAGTACACACGCAATACAGTACACACGCAATACAGTACACACAATACACTTGCAATACAGGACACACAATTCACTCGCAATACAGGACACACAATACACTCGCAATACAGGACACACAATACAGGCGCAATACAGGACACACAATTTACTCGCAATACAGTACACACAACACACACTACAGGACACGCAATACAGTACACACAATGCACATGCAATACAGTACACGCAATACAGTACATACAATACACACGCAATACAGTACACACTCAATACAGTAGACAACACAAAGTACACAACACACGCAATACAGTACACACACAATACAGTACACATGCAATACCGTACACACAACACACACAATACAGTACACAAAATACACCCAATACAGTACACACAATACAGTACACACGCAATACAGTATACACATAACACACAATACAGTACACACGCAATACAGTACAGACAATACACATAACACACGCAATACAGAAACACGCATAATACACAACACACGCAACACAGTACACACAACACATGCAATACAGTACACACGCAATACAGTACACACAACACAGTACACAACACACACAATACAGTACACACAATACAGTACACAACACACAATATGGTACGAAAATACAATATGGTACAACACACAAAATACAGTACACATAACACACACAATCCAGGACACGCACATTACAGGACACACGTTGTGAGTGCAGGAGAGCTCCTCGTACCTGTCTGAGTGCTGACAACTTGCGTCCTCCGGTCATATCCTCTCACTCCCATGTGAGTCTCTGCCCGACCTTCTAGGCCCCCTTCCCCGGCGCCCTCAAGTGCCCTGGCAGTGCCTGCAGACCGGCCAGTGCAGGGAGGGAGAGGGGTATTGTCCACCCCGGCTCATTAATATTATATGCCCCCCCTATACGTGCTGGGTTTGGTTCCCGCTCGCTCGCCAGCTCACTTCATGGGGCCTGCCTGGTACAGGACAGCTGCCCGTACACCCCTTTCAGAGGGCCTTGCCACGAGCCCCGTGCTGGTTGCAGGCTCTCGGGCAGCGCCCGAGTGCCCGATGGGTCAGTCCGCCCCTGGGTGGAACTGGAAATGGGGGGCAATTTCAGGAATATAGATTATAATTGTTCCTGAGGCTAATAACAAGATGCCGCTGCACTGCAAAAACAATGGGGGGGAAGGGATTCCTTTGAACTTTTGTAGTCCTGCCACCTACAAATAACTCATTTCCTGCTCAGGTTCACCCTCTGCAGTTGACTGCTGAATGAGATGGGCAGCCCCAATGTCCAACAGCAAGCTGCCTTTTAGAAACAATAAGAGCTTAATTAATTAATTTGGGAAAGACTTTGAAGTGATTCTGTAACCAATAAAATGTGTCTGCCTAAGGCAAGTCCTTCAGAGCAGGAAACGCAAAGTGCCTGCATGTACCATTAAATCTATGACAAACTCTCATCCGTGTGCAAGCAACACTTGCCTGGCATACATCACAACGCTCCAACTTTGGTGCTGTGGCACATCCTTTCAGAATCCTACAAAGCAATTTGGGCAACTCCTGTTGAACTGTGAAGCGCCCCATTGCTTTATAGAATAGGGAGCTCTCACAAGCACCTAATTTGGATTCCCAAACAGTGTGTACACCGGAACCTTTTGTGCTTACTCTGATGGACTGCATTAGTTAATATTTTGTTATTAAGCGACAGGTTTGCTCTAAGATTGCCTCACTATACCAGATTTCGAGAGTAGGTGCTGCCTATAATTGTAGACCTCTGATCCCATATGCACGGCTATGTTCACACCTTGTCCGGAGCAGATCTGCAAACACAGTGCATTTTTACCATGATTTTACCGTGTTCCAGTGCTGTTTTGTTTTTTTTTTAGCTTAAAAGGGGCTTTCCAGTGCGTTTCAACGCGTTTGCATACGAGTTTGCATTTTTAATGCGTTTCCATTCGAGGTGCACCGAAATGAAAACGTTAAAAACCGAAATTTAAAAAAATGTCAGGCCCAAACCAAAAATGTTTTTTTTTTCCTAACCTTTTTTACATTTTTTTAAAAATATATATTTTTTTTATATTTTATTTTTTATTAACCAGTTGCCGTCCGCCCGTTGAAAAAAAATGGACGGACGGCACAGCTGCATTGGCGGGTTG